AATGAGAAGAAGCAGAAGTATGGTGCTGATGAATATTCCCTCGCCATAATCTCAGCCCTACATGCCATCGGTTGTGATATCGACTTTTTGGTTCATCAACCGATGATCATCTCTTATCGAGGGATCTGCTTTCCTCAATCCGCTGAGGCTGTTATTGGACTGGGACTTCCTAAGGTCGCAGTCAGTGACTTGTGTTTGCTTGCCATTGTGGGCTCCCTGCGTACTTATGACACTTTTATGCGTGGCACATGGCGTTGAAGGTACATTTTTGCCATTTAATCTCACCCCAGACCCAGTATGACGGTCACTTTGTGCCTGATGTGCGAGTCTTGACTGTGCTAGCGCATACTGCGCCTTGAAGAGCATTCACCATTGTTTGTCCTTTCTTTGGTTGTTAGTCTTTAGACGCCTGTTCCTACACCAAAATCTTTACATACTTTGGGATTCACCTCATCAGACTGGCACTGTCCTTGGCATGATTTCTAATGAGACGTTTCTCTCTTTTCTCCCATATTCTCCTGTTACTCTTTCGCATTCATCGCTTGCATTCACTTCTTATGTTTGTGACCATGCTCTTCAAAAATAAATGATAATGACTATGTAATTCGTGTAACGACTATGTTCAGGTGTGCCAAGTTTTCTGAGTAACAGCCCTACCTTCCATGGGTCATCTTGCTTGGCGAAATCAACTTTGAATATGTCTTGGTACCTTTTGAACCAAGAGTCTGAAGTTCGATTTGCATCCGCGTCAAAAGAAAATTCGGCGATAGAATTACCAATAGAGTCAGTAATTGAAATTGATGGTTGACATATGATGCTTTCTGGAGCCTGAATACTCTGATTTTTTATCAGCGCTTCTATGAATTTTAGTTGCGTGTGCTCAAATTGCTTATGTTGCTGCAGTTGCGCGTGATCAAACTGTCTTTGCTGGTGTTCCAAACTCACTGAAAGTTGAGCAGCTGAAATTGACATCGTGGGAGACTCATCGCGAGTGTTGTGTCGCGTGCTAACTGATTTAAGAGCTTGATGGAATTTATTCTATAGTCTGGTACTTGAGTGGGAAGAACCTCAAGAGAGAGGACAAAGGGTACCAAACGAAGATCGGTTATACTGTAAATGAACCAATCGGAGAAAGAGCGCTGTGACTCAGTTGGCTACAATAAAGAGAAAATGAAATCCCAGTGAAATATTAGAAAGGATGGAACTGTTCGTTGCTGCGTGTTATCAAAAGAATGCGCTGGACAATTGGGGCGACCGGTGAAAATAGTCTACATATCTCGAAATGTGCGTACTCGTTTCGCATCGTGATTCACCCAATGCATCTTACAGGGTTTACAATTTCAAAGTTTAAATCAGTCGTTTTATCGGTGGGAGTCCAGCGGTGAGACTAACGGTGGGCGACGGAATGCGTACATATGATGAGCGCGAAGAATTGAGAGCATGTAGTAAGATCTGTGTCCTATGCACTCATTTACTGACTAAAAAAGTCACTAATCTTCAACTGCATTGTTCGTTTCTTCTGGCCGGCATAAATTCCGAAAATGGAATTTAACTCAGCAGTGGCTTCTATCAGCCACTCAGTTACTAAACTGTGTTTAAGTGCAAAGCGTTTGAGAAGTTTCATTGCTCTGTTTATGTCAATGTGTTAAATCACGTTATCGTTTTTTGCCTCCCCTTTTCCGTCGGCAGAAATGCATGATGGTCCCTATGAGCTAGGGACATTAAGAATGACCTTCCGATTCGTTCAAAGGAGCCGGAGAACATAAAACGAGGCAGATTTTCTCCGCAGTTGTCAAAAATTTTCTATCGGAAGCAGTACTAACATCCTGTCAGCAAAAATCGAGACAAAAATCTGATCGATTGGCTGGACAGCAATGACTTTTATTTGCTTCGGCTTCTCCTCGGCTTATCAATCAAACCGCCCTGATAACTGAAGCAGCAAACCTGAGCTGTTGTTCTCATCGTAACCATGTTGACATTTGTTCATTGGGACGGCAGCTGTTGACAACGTCTAAGCCGACGATGTAAGCAGTTTGCAACACAACGAAATGCACCCGTATTCGTAGACGAGCAGGCCTGATTTGTTAACCGAGGGGTCATCGCCTCCTACCCTCAAAACATACTCCCACTACACCACCATCGTTACCACACACAAAAACAGTTCACGAGAGCACACGTGACGAACTTGGATGGCGGAACGCTTGATAAAAGCCAAACAATCATGGTATCCAAGTGATAAGCGAAGTTCAGCAGTACAGTGACTTAACTGAAGCTGACAAAAGCGTCGACTGAGTAGATTCTCCAAATCACTCGAACTGGTCCACTGGTCTTCCGGGAATTACTTTCCAATCAGCATGAACGTCACAGTACATGTAAAACCTGAGCCACCTACCCACAAAACGCCGCTCGGCCATTCGGCTGACACAACCACATACGTTGCGAACGGTTTATCATTAGCGTTTGTGCTACCGATTGTTTTCCGAACTTTTATAAGACAGCTGTCTTCAGTTATTCTGTCACAAGTTAGATGAGTCAGCATGAAATAGAGGCAATGTTCAGAACCGACCAAGTTGTTATCGTCCCCAAAGGCTTGGTCGGTAGTCAAGGGCTTTAGCGCAAGACCGCATCTCTCTTTCGATACAATAGGTTCATCAGGTCAAATGAATGAACTACCAGATTTGCTGAAGTGAGGGAACACATAGCAAGATCTCTTGTAACGAAGTCCGTGTTAGGTGTCCGTTCAGAGCTCTTGTTGGTTAGTGTGAGCAGATATATCCTACGAGCCGTCACGAAGAGACTAAAAATTACGGTGGTGCGACGGTTTGTTCAACCTGGCGATCAATTGAGCTATACCGGGAGGTGTTCGCGCGACACTCGCAGTCTCTCACGCCATACTGGTCAATGATTAGAGGTTGGACCAAAATAGTTTCCAGGTCCTCCAGTTTGGGGATTATACATGCGTGGCGACTTATCTCGTAAAAACGGTAACGCATGTGCATTTCCCGCCAGACACCGCTGCCTTGCAGTCAGGCTTTTGAGCCTTGGTTGACGTCCCTAGCGTCACCTGTACTTCGTTGCCTTATAGTGGCTCGCGGAAAACTGACTCGAAAACGGCAAGCAAGTTTACGATCTGGTAGGAATCGCACTGACCGAATATCCACACCGTCAGGTGCTAGAACAATACCATTCGTATGAACGACCCACAAGTTCAGTAGTTCTGGATTTTCAAGGCCCACTCGATTCGCTTGACATATCTTCTCCTTGACGCGCTTGCCCATCAAGGAACACCCCTGAACTTTGTGAACATAATAAGTTGCGTGTATTCTCGGACTTCCGGACGTGTCACGGCTTACGGAAAGCTCTCCAAAGGCTTCCGTATACAAAGTATTGTCCGTCAGGGGTACCCACTCTCTCCGTTCCCTTTTTATTTCGTAATCGATGAGATAACAAGACGAGCGCTGACAGGCCCTCATAACCCCTGTGCTCAAATAGCCTGTGACGAAAGCCCTGTCGAACTGGAATACGCAGACAATATCGTTCTCGTCTTCAAAAAGGAGAGGCGTATGTATTTTTGGATGAACTGCCGAAGACATCCCGTCTTCGGTATACAATTTTCACTCACAAAGTGTAAGACGTGGACATGCTGTCATTGAACACGTACCTCAGGATCCAGAGACAGGCAGTTGATGTTGTGGAGCCTTTTACGTGTCTTGGAGGTCGTATTAGTTCTGATTGCAGTGTGACAGTTGAGGTCAACGCACGAATCTGCAGGGTTCGGGTCGCGTTCGCTAAGTAAAGCCACCTATGAATTCAAAGCGGTATATCTCTGAATCTCAAGAGACGTGTGTATCAGGCTACGCTACGCTCTGTTTTGTTGTACGGCTGAGACTTGGCCTTTTCGAGTAGCGGAACTGAGACGTCTTCAGATGTTCGGCAATCGTTGTCTCAGAACCATAGCTCGTATTGGTTGGTGTTGGTGAATCCGTAACGAGGCAATTAGAAAGCGAGCTTTCGGTTGTGCAACGGGTACTTCCAATAGAGTTCGTCTAGCACCAGAAGCTGCTTTGCTTAGGCCATGTATTGCGCATGCTGAACCATCGTCTGCCTAAGACAGTGCTGTTTTGCGCACCCAATTTATAGTAGCGGAAGCAGAGAGCTAGACAGCCCATGACTTGGCCATGAGAGCCACTCGCCCGGTTGGAGGCGCTGTGAGTTATGGATGTTATTCGAAGTCAATGGCGTTCTTGTTGTTAATTTTTATCTAGGTTGCATAAATGAGCGTCCGGAGGTGTAGGCACCTCGGAGTGATTGCAGCAAGGTAGCACTAAGTCCCTTCCCCGTCCGTCTTTATTCTTTTCTTAACAATAAGGCTGTCAAATAAACCATCCCTACCTAAAGCTGCCACCTTGATGTGGTGGTCAGGCTTGAGTGCTGCAATGATCCCGCGGGCTACCCTGGCTGGAACTCAGTTCCACCAGGTGCAACCATGCCAGGAAGGCCAAAGCGGAGCAGTCAGACCAAGAGCAGCGAGACTCTGTGCTGCGAGTAATCGTGCTACGAGGCAGTCTGGGGGTAAAGTCGTACTGTCCTCTGTGACAGGAGTGTGAAGGCAGTAAGGTGACTTCCCCGGGCAACCAGCAGGTCCATATTTATGGAAGCAGCGATGCTGCCTTTACCCGAGAAAGGACAGGTTAGAAAAGGTTGGCCCCAAAATCGCACATTCCGATCACCCAACGGTTGATCATGACCGCCGGCGCATTATCCGATACGGTCGAAATACTTCTAAAACCAAAGAGCCCGGTGTTGCTCAAAAGACACCTGCTGTGCGAAGCCGCCCTAGGAATGAAACAGCAGTGCCTTATTTCCTACGCCCTCGGGCTAAGCCAACCCCCTGCAGCCGAGCATGCCAGACTATTGAGTCATCGGCTCCGGGCAGGGTCCCCAAAGAAAACCCTACTGTCTGCTGCCTCGTGGGTCAGACTTTTGAGCCACAGGCTAGGGGAAGGTTCCCGAACAGAACCCTACGTCCTTCGACTGCCCTGTGGTTCAGACTTTTGAGCTAAAGGCTCAAGGTGGGGTACCTCAACCAAACACCCTCCCTCGGCCTGGGCAACCGGGAAGTATCATTTGCCCGTGCAGTTCGGTGTCCACCGATGTCCCTCCACAACCCCAAATAAATCATGATTGTACTGTAGAGAAACATCAGTGTTGAACAGTGGTCATGCTGTCGATGATGGTGATGATGATCCTACGAGCGATGTGTGGGGTAGTTTGGTAGAGCGCTTTGTCACAATGATCACCATATTTTCATAATCTTACGAATCGGTTTTTGGACAATAAATAAACACATTTCCTTGAAGGTAAGCCCTCACCGATTATTATCCTTCCAGCCATTTCAAGTAAATCATCTTTGCACTGGAAATGGGCAGAAAACAATGGAATTGGTCTACAGAATCAGCCTTTTTCAGAGGGTTCGACGCTGACACGTCCAATCTAACTGGCATTGGCCAGCCAGTTGTCATAAGCATATTCGTGGCATATTTGTGTAGGTCGCCAGAATAGCCATGTGGACAGATAAAAGTAATAACACTTGAACAACATTTTTGTGGAGTCGAACCCTGAATTCCCAATCGGGTATATGGAAAACCAGCTAACTGGGACGATATTGGTGCATGATTAGAAACGAGATAAGAGACAGTTTTTATGTAGTGTAGTTCATGGAAATAACACCTTATCATTAATTTACATCAGGACGGGACATTTAGAAAAAAGAAACGATGATATATACGGTTCGAAGAAGTTGCAGACAGGTCCAGAAGAGGCGATTCCGACCAAGCATCACACGCAATCTAAAGAGGGTTAACTGCCAACTAGAATTAATTGTAAGGGTATGCGAGAGCGATAGATAAAGGTCACTAGATGCCGAGGGAACGGCAAGTGGGACTGGTCGACATACTGTAAATAGAAAAAGCAACCACGGATGAGAAAGCAGGAAAATAATAACGGGAGTACCCTTAACGAAGCGCTTCATTCGCTTCTTAGTTTCGGAGACCACTTGCCCCGGCAAGCGGGTTTTGAACAGAAGGATTCGTGGAACAAACACCCAACAGACTGTGGTTAGCTGGAAAAGGAATAAATAAAAGACGGAATATGCGTCGATGCACATCACTTAGAGGACTAAATTAACTCTTCGTAAGTGAAATAATGCTAGTGAATGCAACAAGAAGGCCCTGACTGAATGACGGGGGTACGCAAATCAGTGCCTAGCATCAGTTCATGGGGTAAAGTCGGTTACACAACATTGTTGTGGTTTTGGAATGAGACATTCATGTCCACGTAGGTGCCCAACAGGTATAATTGACCCAGTCGATACTCACGGCACCCCGCCGCTCCATACTCCACTTTTATAGGCAATCATTACGACAGTCAGTCGTAATAATACCAATACAGAAAAAACCTCTCAGCTGTAGCACCTTTCGGTGTCTAACTGCCACGCCACCAGAAGTGCTGGGATACTGCAAGGTTCCCCAAGCCTAGACAAGAGAAGTCTAGAGGCAGAGGCCGGGTTTGAACCACGGACCTTAAGGCCAGTAAATTCGTGCCCTAACCACTGAGCCAGCTCGCCCCCATACCAATACAATGCTGAGGATGAATGTCGCTTGAAGAGTGCATGGTGCCACATATGAAAACAATTCATGTTAATCCGCAGAAAGTATACTTAGAAAATGTGTCGACAACGAGGTTATGCGTTTTTTAACATTCAGTCGTGGACTGTATGCAGTGACAGGTTAATAATCCCCCACCCCGTTTTAAACCGAATAAACAGCCGTTTCGGATAAGAAGAATACGAAAATGGCAGTGCCAGAGGGGATGAAGAGAAAAGTGAGAGCCAATGACTAAAGTGAGAATGGCTGAACTACCTGAATTATAAATCAAACAAAACTTAGTTGACGTGTACTTGGATGTCCCAAAAATGGAGGTCAGGGTCGACAAAGGTGTCACAACCAATCTAGGTTTGCACGTTTAAACTAGGGAATATCATTCTGAAGGACAAAGCTAACATTCCGAAGAACCTCGAGGAACTCCATAGCCGTTTCGTCCTTGTTGTTTATGATGAGCCTAACGAATCTCGAGGTAGGTCATCATCATCATCATCATCATCATCATCATCATCATCATCATCATCATCATCATCATCATCATCATCATCATCATCATCATCATCATCGACAGCATGACATCAGTGTTCAACACCGATGCTGCACTACCGTAGATTTGAACCTGCAATCCTCCGGATAATAGTTAGGCGCTACCAGTCGGCTACGGATGGCTGATGAGCATCGAACTGAATTGAACTTAAAAATATGTTACCTATCATCTCTTGATGATGTCGCCTGCACCAAATGACCGGGCGTTGACTAATTCTGCGAGTGACCGCCTCTCGTTCATAAAATGCCCTTGTCTGCACATGTTGTCTTATAAGTAGCAAAATTATTTCGAAGTTTTATTTGCGCAGTTCATCCTACAACGAAGTCAGAGGGAAATCACATGGGTTTACCTTGTCTAAGAAGTCAGTCAACACCAAACCATGCGAACCGGATTTGCGCGGTTGAACGATTATTAGCTCCACATCTGATCCAGGCGCAATTTAACCACACCGTTGTTCGCCATCAATAGGTGAATCGCGCTGTTCAGCAATTATTTCAAAAAATAAGGGCCACTGATTAGTGCCAACGAGGAAAAGACCGTAGAGCGCCCCGTGACTCTACAGCATGGGCTAATTCGGGATTGGTAGAGAATTCTTCTGATTCTAACTTTCACCATACCTGAAGGACTGTGTTTGCTGAAGGTTTATTTGCAAACCTACAAGACGATGCCACAGTAATGCACAGGTTCAGCTACTGAGGCTAAGGACAAAGCGTTATTGCAAGAAATACGAGACTGATGCGACCAATGTTAAGCACAAACACATACCACCATGTTCTTCTTGATGATGCACTCTCCGGGTTTCAGCGTCTGGAAAACATTTCAGGCATTCAGGGCAAGCGAATATCTTCGAAGCTGAAGAGAAGTGGAACCAGTGATACTCACAGATTGCACCGGAAATCGTGTTTATTTGTTACACAAAGATTAACTCATAACAAGGCAGTACGGAACTCACTGTTATGCACGGAAAGATTGTGTTCCAGAAGAGCAAACTTTGAGGGAAATAACAAACTGCAGGGAGAGCAAAGGATCAGGGAAGCTGAAACGAAAAACCAAAATTGAGTGTGGGGATAATCAGGCAGCTAGAAAACGGACAGTTGAGTGGACAGGGCCAAGAAAAGATTTCAGGTACCAACGGTAAAGTCATAAATACGAGTCCTGTAAGTAGCTAGCTGTGGGACTTCATTTCCCTATTCAAATTGTCGATAGCTTAGTTAAAGTAGGTAGGCTCATAGGAGGGACGGAAATAGGCCATCAGTTACAAATCAGCTGAAGGAACTAGATGTATCCATCGGTAGCTCACACATTCATGTGCCAAATTTACTGAGCAGGCCAATCAGAAAGATCCTAGCAAACCAGCTAGCAGACCCAAAGCCCTACTCACAGAAGACTTTTTCTAGGAGGGAATGGCACGAAGCATTATGGTAGCATTATGGTGCTATGAACGCAAATCAACCAGAAGCTCCACATACATTTGTTGCAGAATTGCCGCATGCACGATCCACTTTGACAGTGGTATCAATGAAGTCGGTAACTAATACTGAGTAATGGCGTGCGAGTTCTTCCCCCTGCTGCTGGCCAAAACGGTATGTGCTTGTGTGCCCGTAAGTGACCGACCCTTGGACCGGAAGCAAACCAGCTTACATTTGGTTTCGTCGACCCAAACAATCAGTCACCCCTCAGTCTCTGACTGCATAACCCTCAAAACGTACTTATTCCTCAGTCGCTTATTATCCATTTGGTTCGCCGTCTCACATACAGGATGCGATTCTCTCATTGTGAGCAGGAATAAATCGGGGTACGCGACAAATGCTGTTAAGCTGGCGTCGTTGTCAATTCGGCGCCTTACCGAAGCGCAGTGTCTACTGATCGAAGCTCTTGGCAGAACCGTGGCTTGATACCGTGTAGATCGATAGGCAGCTTTCATCCAGAGTACAAGTAAGAATGGCAGAATGCCTCACTTTTTGTGAGTTATGACGGAGCACCACAACTTTAATGTGCCGTGGTTTATGGCTCGGAGTTTCAGTCATCCTGTAGTGGAATAATTAGAAGTGCGAAAAGCATGGGAGGCCACCATTATCACAAGGGTATCGTTCGATTGATAAAGAGGACACATCTACCTCTACGGCTTGAGCCTGAAGTCAACGTAGTACGCGTCCGGTTTGTCCACTTCATTGGTATGGTCAAGACTTCGGCCTAAGACCGTAGACGTCGGTGTATTCCCTTGACTAATCGAATGATGCCCCCGTAACGGCCGCGACATAAGAAAGGTAACGTCTGAAACGACGAACAATTGACCCAAGCCGGAGATCCGTATCTCTTATGGATTCTCAGGCACATGCTGGCACCATTCTACCTTATAAGATACGGCTTCAATATATTGTTGCAAAAAGCCATAAACGGAAAAACTCAATTATATGAAAGAATGAGGAAGCGTAGGTAACAGGTGCTGGAAAGGTTAACTAAAACATGACGGACCCATTTTGGTACGCACCGGTGATCGTAATTTAAAGTTGTCACAAGGGGCCACCGACCTCGAGATAGCTCAGTGGTTAAGGAGCGAAATTACCGACAGGAAGACCCGTGGTTGGAGACCAAGTTGTCACAGGGGCCACCGACCCCCAAGATAGTCAGTGGTTAAGGAGCGAAATTACCGACAGGAAGACCCGTGGTTGGAGACCAATCCCACTACCTCAACTGCTTCTGTTTACGCTTGAACAACGTGGCAGTATCTCAGGCCTCATGCCTCCTTCGGGTGGCATGAAAAATATGCACCGAAAGGATGTTGCATCTGAACGGTTTTTTCCTAACAGGCCACCGGTGAGCAGACTACATAGATGATTACTTTTCGGATTGAATCCCCGTACGAATGCAAAGCCTACCTTTATATACATATTGATGGCCAAGCGACGTATAGCTGCTTGAAAATCTGTGCAAGGGAGTGATGGGTGATTTTCTCGCTGTCAAGTTAAACAGAAAGTGACCAATCGATGATTGCCTAAAGGTGAAGTAAAAAAGGGCATGTTTCCGTACAGATTGAGTCCCACTAACCTGGCGATTCAGCAGACTAGTAAAACATTTTTTTAAATCTTTCCACGACATTTCACTTGTTATTGGGTGACAGGCGATCCAGGCATGCTTAAAGACGGGGATGCTATCGGACACCCAAATATAGATGTGATAAATCTAGAAGGTAAAACTGAGCTTCAAATATAGAGATTCCCCCTCGACTCACTCCACCTCACTTTTCTTGCTAGGCGCCAACATTACATTGACAGTGCTGTACTGTGTCACAAGTCTGGTATGTGAAGAGCCGCCATGCAGCTAATAATAGAAATCAAAAATGACACAAGTGATTCAGCCTAATGACCGTCGTTGTGAGGATGGTTTCGAAGCTGAATTGTGGTCACTGTTCCCACAAAGTGAGTTAGCATGTGTGACAGTAGCAGTCAGAGGAGTTCAACGAGAAAACCAGATAGACACCACGTACTTGCATGAACGGTTTTTGTGTGACGGTTAAATGCGAACTTGGTAGAGAATGTTTTGTTGCACAGTGGACAGATGCATAGTTCAGCACCTAGAAACAAGTTGATCCGGATGACACAAATGGGCATAACATACTTTCGTGGATCAACCGCATATGGCGCTCCAGACCATGTTTAGCGGAGAATTTCTTTCCGCAGCAGTCGCAGGGTAGCACGCGTTCCGTTATACCTGAAATATAAAGATAGGTGGTAACGTTTAAAGGAATACCATTATTGTACTAAATGGTGGACGATACCGAAGAACCAGAAGAGCATTGGACATTGTGTGGAAAACAAGCCTTATGGCATTGTTGACGAATAATGTAACCTACAGAGACAACGTTGTACTATTTCTGTAGACAGCTGGAAAGCGAGTCCGTGGAGTTGGCACAATTGACCTAATAGTTGGGCGCCGATATCACACAGGCATATGTCCTCCAACAGACTACCGAGCCAGATGTCTGACTGAGTAATCAGACTAGAAGCAGTTCGAAGACAAATTTGGTGAAGTGACCACCGCGTTGTGTGTGTGTGTTTCCAAAGAATCCTATGCGTCGTGGTAAACCTTAAGGGATAATACGCCTGGGACTATAAGCGACTTGGGGCCACGAACCAAGACCTGCATTATTCGCCCGTCTGATCAAGTTCAACCCGATGGTCCAGTCAGCTATTTACTCTATTGCTTAACGCGGACGGTCCTCAATCTTAATGAGAAACTACCTGCCGCACCACCCACTAGTGATTTTCTACTCGGAGGGTTGTTCCAAGATAGTACACTTCCATCTTCCACAAGTAGTTGACACTACACAGCGTAAAAAATTAGGCAGCACTTCTGGGTGATGAATATGTTAGCCCTTTGGTTGTACCTTTGTCACAGCTGATCCCCAAAGAAATAGCTCACTCGCTCAGGATAGCTGCAGTAAGGTAAGTGACTTATGTCAATAGACGAATAGTTTGACGGATGTCAAGCAGAAAGTCTTAGATACTGCATTTGGCAATTCAATGTTCGTGTATAAACTTGATTCGAGCGTAAAAATGAATTAGGAACGCCGAAATATTACGGCTCGGTGTAGCAACCACAATCCACCATCCAGTCATCGAAATTCAATCACCAATAAGGTCGATCAAGTTCAGACAATGATTTTTTGGTAGCAAACAGAAGCGTGCGAATAGATTCAAGGCAAATTGTGACTAGGTTTATCAAGTACTGTACTGAATTCAAATAGAGGGAGCTAACCTTCGTGAACTTTCCGAATGTGTCGATGAAGTGCGAACTTCGTGGTAAAACTTCTACCACAGGATTCGCATTTGCTTTCCTCAGCGCCTGAAAAGGTGTGGGTAGTCACCCGAAGAAAATCCAAATAGTTAGGCTTTAGGGAAAAACGGTGAACAGATGCGTAAATGAAAGAGCTTGCATTGCATAGTAAAACGGTGTCTCAAAACAGTATAACAATGCGGATGAGTGGCGGACAGCTCAATCTATCCCGTTATCAAACTTAGCCTTCCGGTGATTCTCCACTTCAAACCCGTTTAGGATTATCGGTCTTTCGTCCAAGCAGTCGAAGAGTTATGACAACGAGAACAACGCATCAACATGCTGGGGCCTTGTAATATACTCTCTCAGCTTGGACTTCTTACACGGTCTCCTGACATTAGTATCTTTTTACGTAAGTTAAAGACTATACATTGCAAAATTATCTTGCACAGAAGTGGCAATTCGCTTAAAGCTTACACGTACGGTACATCCACCTTAATACTCCAGCTAATGCCTGTACTGATAAGCATCGGGTAGGTTTATACGTAGTACATAGGTAGCCTCATTATGGTATGTTGAAAAGCGTATTATCCGTGGAGAAACTTCACATCCCCGATCGGATAAACACTCCACTTAATTATATGGTGCGAAAGGTTCAAGTATGGTCTTCATCATCAAATACAACAAATCAGTAAGCAGAAGAAGAGTAGAGTCCCTTATGGTGCAGAAACTCCCCCAGTCTACGTAATATAAAAAGGATCAACCGAAATTTTACCGAGTGAAATACACTGCTTGCCAAAGATGGACGCAATGTGCCACTGCTATACCCTCGAAAGACAAATCCAGCTATTGAAAGGGTGGATCAACACCGTTCTGGAACAACGCTGATGGGAACCTATATAGCCCTGTGTTCCGATAACGACTCATACCAACATTTTATAAACTGAAGAAAGGTCCAAATTTGAGTGGTTCCACCATAAGATTGGTAGAGTGGCAAACGGCCTAGCGGTCAAGACGCTGGCTCTTGTTTCACATAGGATATCGAAAATTACCCTGGTGACTTCACTAACAGCCGTTTTTTCCGCTCCCGTTTTGTGCACTGTATGAGAAGTTCTCGGACATTTTAGCTGCACTAGCTTTCTCTATTTCCGAAGCCATATGATTCCACTAAACTTTCCTTCCTGCGGATAGACTATCTTTACATGTCGTCTAGCAATCCCTCCAGTGGTGATGGGATCTCGAAAACACATGCCGAGTTGTTTACCGCATGAATGGTAGTACCTACCCCATCCCAGTTTCTGTAGGCATCTTCTGAGGATAAGGTTTTTAAGGCTTCGCATAGGCTTTGCAATGGTCAGTATGATAAGATTGCTCAACTCGTGGGTCAGAAACTTTTGGTGGCCAAGCCAGCTCATTCCGCAAAACGCTGGAAATTTACGCAAAACAGAAGTTAAGGGTTCGTGTGTGGCTTCATGGTCGTACTTTAGTAGTAGGAGCGAGGTTGAGCAACAGCATTCACTATGTATGAATCCAGCACTACTGAGGAACAAGTGGTGATCCATCATGCCCTGAGTTCAAGCAGGAAAGGCAACCAAATTCTGGCTCCAACGAACCGAAACCCTCTACTTGTGCACTGAGGCCGCTGGCGACTAAGACAATAGCTGAACTCCTCATGTTGGATAGGAGGTTCCTGATTCCGAATCACAACAACTGGCTAGTCCGCATAATAATAGCAATAATAATAATAGTCCGTATGCAGGACACAACTAAGGAACGCATATTGCTTCGACTAGTGCAGGTTCTTACGAAGTTAATAAGCGAAAGGCACAAAAGTGATTGTTTACGGCGATCCAGTCAAGTGAGGAAGCCTCAGTACAAGAGCTAAAGCCATACCAACGCCGGCGGTGATAGAGAAAGAAAAAAGAAAAGAAAGTGTTCAGCTGTAGCACCCTTCCGGTGCCTAGCTGCCATGCCACCCGAAGGAAGCACGAGGGCTGGGATACTGCCAGGTTGCCCAAGCCTAGACAGGGAAAGTCGAGTGGCGGAGGTCGGATTCGAACCACGGACCTTCCGGTCAGTAAATTCGCGCTCTAACCACT